AGCGAGAGAGAGAGAGAGAGAGAGAGAGAGAGAGAGAATACAGTTCTTTTCAATTGTGAAACTGAAAACGATGAAAATACCATAGATTCAATTTCACGTCCAATTTTTTGCCATTGTCTGGTTATGTAAAACTATTGAAATAGTTGTCATCACTTTTGTTATAAAAGTGTTGTCTTTTTGTCCCCGCTGCAATGAGAGCTTTTTAAAAAAAATGAAACAGAATTCATTATAACAAATATGCAACGAAGAGCTTTATGCGCGTCACAAAATGAGAGATAACCACGCCAAAAAAAAAGAATGTTTATCTAATGGCCAGACTGTGGACAATAGCTCACATTGTGTACTTTTCATGAAACACATGGTTTGTGAAACGCTACTTGCATTTGAAAAGGGAGGAGTTTTTAAAGGAGTTGAGTATATTATATATAAGTTACATAAACAATTATATGTTCGAATGGTGTCTAGATTCTACTTTAATTGATTGCGTGGTCCCTGAAGCAGTCGCTTGTCTAGACATATAGACACAATATGTATATGGGTTAGTACTCTAGTGACTGCTGTGACTTAGGAAGTGTGGTACCTGGGTAAACAGTGACGTTGCTGTCGGTGATTTGGCTGTACTTGGATGATAAGCAGTTTTCTTTTGTCCTTCCACGACTCCAGGTAACATTATTGGCTAGATGATCGGTCCACAAAAGCTGTCGAAGATACGATGTTGCAGAAGCGAATTCACATTGACTAGACGCACTCTAATGCAGGAAGCCATAAATAAAATCTCACATAATTTAGCATGCAAATAGTCATACCCCGTCCTACTGCTTACATTGGGACGAGTCTGAAATTGACGGTGCAGCGGAGATGACAGCATTATAGGATATATACACAGAGAGACATTCGAATAATATGATTCGGCTTATCGGTGACATAATCCACTCTACGCCGATCTCTTCCAGAGAATATCATAAAGGCCACCTTTTATCAGCGTGTTCAGGCTGTCCTTCAGAGCTAGATCTAGATTTGACAAGTGAAAATGGTTACAAAATATATGAAAAACTTTGCTTCTTGAACGTCAAATCCGCCCCCACCTCCTCTGGGCTCATGACTCTTTCCGCAGCCTTTCTACTGCTACTCCTTGGCTCCCTCTTATTGCTTACTTTCAATCAAACCCTTGATCTTAGGGTAGGTAAAATCTAACACCCAGCCTTCTCGGATAAGGGCGAAAGAACCTCAAAGGTCCCACGTGCACGCTAAGCACATTAAAGATGGCTTGGTGGTCCTAAAATTGATAGATTAGGTTTCGGCCGCCACCCAAGCAAAAATCCAAAATCAGTTCCTACAGAACTGAAAATGCCCCGCACGCTCCTATGACTTTATGCAGTTCCAAGCGCCGTAAAACATGAACCAGAAAAAGAACGTCAAATGAAACAGTCATCACACACAAACACACACACACACACGCACACACACACACACACACACACACACACACACACACACACACACACACACACACACACACGCACACACACACATACACACTTCAAGGACGATAACTCAGTCATATCTGCCTTGATTTCAACAAAACTTCGCAAAAATGAAATTCGACTAGGGGGGACATCATGTTTGTAAATATAAAGAAATTCAATCCATGTTTTTGAAAACCACCAAGTATTAAAAATTTCAACCAAAATTGGATGAAGCGCAAAACTTTAGCCTACTTTTTAAAAGCATTCACTCACAGGTGCGTTATCAACCTATCTAGTTTCATGACTAAAATGGTAAAACCAAGACAGACACATCGGATGAGTAACTCACCGTGCTGAAAAAGTTGAGAAGTTTGGGGAGGAGAAGGTGTTATGTAGTTAAGGAGGCTGGGTTCCATTCTGACTGGGCCATATCGTGCACATCAAAGTGGCCCTTGCATGGTTTCAAGAAGGGTTTGGGGGACGCCTTTAAACCGAAAGCTTACGAATGAATGGTCACCATATTTTTCCGGCTCGAACCCCTTCAACTATTTCCTTTGGGGGTATTTTGACTGATAGAATCTACGAAAACAACCTACAAACAATCTAACAGTTGAAAGTCGTAATAATCGACCCAGAAATATGCTACAGAGTAATTCAAAACTTTCAGTACCGTGCTGGATCTTGTATGTAGAAAAATGCTCAACACTTGGAGAATGCAATTTAAATAACGACCACATTCCCTGAGTTAATTTGGCATTATATATGTTGTATAAATTTGTTTTTCAATGCATAGATAATGACTACATTTGAAATAGAACAACACAGTTGATTTTTAAGTAGTTGCAAACTTTTGCGTTTGACCCAATTTTGGTCGATATTTTCTAAAAAATTGATTTATATTTTTTCAAACACGTCAGTTGATTGACTCCATATTAACACATGTGACATCCCCCAGGTTGAATTTTATTTGTTCGAACTTTGTTGAAATGGATTTAAAATGATCGAGTTATAGCACTTTAGTTTGTTTTTAAAAAATTGGTCCTCTTTTTTTAAAGACACCCGGCACACAGACATACACCCACCCGCATGTACACAAACACACACTGAACATAAACACACCCACTAACAAACGAAACATGTTATTATTGTTATCCCCTTTTCGTACGCCTACTCATAGGTATGAGCGGGTGGTTGGGGAGCGCCGCTGATAGATCCTACTTATTTTGGCTAAAACAGCACGTGGACATGGATGGCTAACTGGTGCTCTATAAAACATTATTATATTGATGGTCCTACTTATTTTCTTTTGAATTTGGACTGACTATGTTGAATTTGAACTGACAATGTCGAAAATTGTCTTGGTTGAATTTGAACTCTCTTTTGTTACATTCATGGCGCTATTTTGATGTTTGAGCTTCCTAGTGTTGCCCTCTATGTTGGTGTTTGAACTTTCAATGTTGAATTTTATTTGACTATGTTCATTAAATTATGCCATGTTTCATTTGAATCGTCAAAGTTTTTATTTAGTCTGGAAAAGGTATAAAAAGTGAGCAGCCTTAATATAAGAAAGAGTATAGATGTGTGAAGACAACACAGAAACAACGTCCCAGGAATCCAAAAAAATCCTCGGGAGAGGCCCAGCCCGACATCAGATACAATCCTTGATCTAGGGTCTGCTATCTCCAAAATGAAAACCCACGTGTCATCAGCCCCAACAACATCCCTACAACCTTCCAGAAACGATCAGGTTCGAAAGACACCCAGGGAAGCTCTTTTTTCAACCTCAACATGACCTCCCGCCTCCTGCTCAGTAAACGGCAGTAATTCGGGGAGGAAAGAGGCGCGCTGGACTGCCTCACATGGTACATGAAGGAGTCGGTGACTCTGGCAAGATGCACTCTTTTCTGGTTCGAGGATAGGTGTGTCAGACGAATGACCGACTTCGTTTCCACCTAAACCCGTCGACCACACATACACAACAATAATGATAACAACAACAGCAGCAACAACAACAGCAACAACAACAACATCGGGCGGTGGCATCTCTTCAGGGAGGATTCAGGGAGGTTGGACTGCCCCACCCGCTAACCAAGGGAGGCGGTGGCCCTGGCGAAGAGCACACTCTTCGGGGCTCCAAACATTTCGAACGGATAGGCTACCACACACACACAACAACAACAGCAACAACCAAAGCTACAACATCAACAGGAGCAACCCAAACTTCTCAGAAAAATGCAAAGTTCAGGATCTCAATGAGACATTAAGTTTAGGTCTTTCACAAACCTTTCAGAACAACAAACTGCGCTGTCATGAATAAATTGTTTAAAAAAAAAAAAATTCTTTATTTTACTTCTGATTTTCAATGGATGGAATTCAAGAGGGTATATCCATGAACCTTGAAAAGTTATTCACTTTTCCTCAAAGTATGCTATCTCAATAACCAGCCCCCCCCCCAATTCCACCATGCCCCGCCTCTTTTGGCCTCGACTCATCCTACCTTCTTTTCATCCCCCAATTAAAATAAAGAACCTAAAAATCACCGCACATAACAAGATCATAATTCTACTACAGAAGATCAGTAAAACGTAAAAAAATAAAGCTACAGGAAAAAACAGCCGAACAAATACATATACTACAAAATACTACCCAACAAATAAACACGTATAAAAAAAGCCAAAAGCAACTCCCTCCAAGAAGCACAAACACAAACACACACACACACACACACACACACACACACACACACCCACACACACACGCACACACGCACACACACACACTCACACACACACATACACACACGCGCGCGCGCGCGCACACACCTTTAACTCCTTTTACTCCTTTACTGCCCGCCCAGAAGTCAGCACAAGAACCACAAGGATGGTCTGCAGTTTGACGTCACCCCGACTATTGGCTGTCCTGGCCTTGGCCCAGTTGGTCACTGGCTTCCTGGTCGGTCGTTCACCTGACCGGACATTCCCGAAGCCGGGGAGGGGTGATGAGGGTCTGTACCACTTCGCCGCTGTGGCTTCCAACGCTGACCCTTGCTCTCAGGTTGGAACGTGAGTACATGTGTTGTTTGTTGTTGTTGTTGCTGCTGCTGCTGCTGCTGCTGCTGCTGCTGCTGCTGCTGCTGCTGCTGCTGCTGCTGCTGCTGCTGATGATGATGATGATGATGATGATGAAGATGATACATATAATGATGATTATAATAGTGATGACTATAGTAGTAATAGTAAAGTACTACTATAGATTAATTATAATTCTGTAGTAGTAGTAGTAGTAGTAATAGTAGTAGTAGTAGTAGTAGTAGTAGTAGTAGTAGTAGTAGTAGTAGTAGTAGTAGTAGTAGTAGTAGTAGTAGTAGTAGTAGTAGTAGTAGTAGTAGTAGTATGCTACTGGTTTTACACCCCCATTGGCACAATTTGAATCATTTAGGAGGCAGGCTTCCGACCTGGTTTGTCAGGGTCAACCCGAACTGAGGTCGATACAGTGCAGCAGAAAGACAGAGATACTCGATAAAAAATTCTCCCTACTTTGGAATTGAACTCCGGTCTCATGCGTGCCTAATCCCTACACCACAGACCCGTGTAGTAGTAGCAGTAGTAGTAGTAGTGTTAAAACAAACTTGCACATTTTTACTACTACTACTACTACTACTACTACTACTACTACTACTACTACTACTACTATGCCAAAATACAGTTACAAGAGTTTAGATGACTACCTTGTGGGTAGGGTGCTTCCCCCTCCTGGCTTTTGCGTAGAACATACATGTATTGGTAAGTTTAGTAATTACACTTGTAGACATTTACGCCCGTGTTGACACAATGTTCCAGCTAACAAGGACATACTCAGTAAGAAAAACCTCCCAAAAAGGAATCGAACTCGAGATCACACTTTCTTGATGTGGAGTCGTAGAGTATAACTGTTATCACTGGCGCCAGAAAACGTTGAACAAATCTTGTTGTTAATAAGAAATGAACATATTTTTCTTCATATTAAAGACGTGGAGCGGATAAGAAAAGATAAGGTAAGTAAGATAAGATAAGATAAGATAAGATAAGATTAGATAACATAAGATTAATCTGTGTTGTCCACATGCTAACACATTGCTTTGGTGTTTCATCCCCTATACCAGTGGTTTTCAAAGTGGGCGCTACCGCCCCAAGGGGGGCGGTGGCGAGAGTTTGGGGGGCGCTGTGGCGAAACTGGGCGATTGGGGGGCGCTGGTGGGCGCTAAGGGGGCGGTATGAAATGTTCATGACATGCAACATAAAACGTGATGAAGAGAAAAAAGCCACATAAAAAACAAAAACAAAAACAAAAATAGATAGCTTAGGCATAGTTTACAATACTACATGTAGGCTACTTATAACTAAAAACTTTCGTTCCCTGCCTGCAGATCCCATATAAAGAAGATTCGTCAAGACAAATCTGACAAAGATCTGGCATACTTCAAAACTCTAAAGATCAATTTTCAGAAATGAAAATCCTTTAAACCGATGTTTGCAGCCAACGTCGATCAAGCTGATCTAGGCTTACGAGCAACATATAATTTATCTCTGCTAATTACAAAGGCAGGCAAAAACCATGCTATTGGTGAGAATCTCATGCCTGCGACAAGAGAGGTGGTCAACACAGTCCCGCAAAGTGCCCTGGAGCCTGTGTTGAAAGTTCTCCCACTAAGTGACAATACCATTCAAAGACGTATTGATGAGATGTCAGCAAATGTTGAGAAATCACAGTGCAAAATGCTGAAAGGACATGAGCTCAGCCTTTAACTGGATATCAGTTCATAGAGGGTGAGGAAATAATGCAAGAATTGTTATTTGCGAAAATGTTGGAAACAGATACCAAAGGCGAGTCCATTTTCAAAGTGGTCCAAGAATTTTTCGAGGAGAAACAGATCCCTCTGACCAATACAGTTGCCTGTGCAACAGATGGGGCACCGTCGATGGCAGGTCGGAAACGTGGATTTATGAACTTTTTGAAGAAATCAGTCCATGGAGTATTTACTGTCTACTGTGTCATTCACAGACATAATTTGGTGGCAAAAAAAAACCTGAATGAAAGTGTGCATGACACACTGGCCATTGCCATCACGTGTGTGAACAAGATCAAAGCCCTCGCTTTGAACTCGAGACTATTTCAACAGCTGAGCACTGAAAATGATGAGTACTTTCAATGCTTACTTTTGCACACTGAAGTCTGGTGGCTCTCGAAAGGAAACTGTTGAACACGATTATTGTTCTGCCTGTTTGACTCTGTGCTGAAGTTGGTTTTGTTTTTTTCAAGAAACAGACAGTGATCTCTGCAATAAACTGAAAGAACACAAGAACAACATTGCGCTCCTCACAGATCTTTTTACAAAGTTCAACCAGTTCAACTTTCAGCTGCAGGGGGATGACACCAATCTGATCAAGGCTTTCGTCATTCTTGTCGAAACTGGAAATGATCCGCCGAAACATTGGCAGAAGAACATTTCTCAGTTTCCTAGCTTGGCGGAGACACTGAAAGAAGGGCGCATTTCTGACGAGGAACTACAAATACATATAGCAACCACTTCAGAGATTTGCATGCTGATATGAAGACAAGGTTTAGCCTCCTGATATTTTTAAACTGGAAATTCCATACTGGATACTGGACCCATTGAACACTGAAACAGATGATAACTTGCTAGTAGCAATTGAAGAAGAGCTTCTGACGATGAAATGTGACTTTGAAATCAAACCATTGTTCAAAAAGCCGTACCAGTCATTCTGGTTGAAAACTATTGTGCAAGACAAATGCCCCTCAAAGTGAGAAAAGATCAAGTTGTTCATCTCTTTTCCTGCCTCCTATCTAGTAGAAAGGGGATTCAGTGCAGTGACAAGTTTGCTGACGAAGCGTAGCGATTTGCGTCGGCTACTGACCAATCTGAAACCTGATGTTGATAAGTTGGTTCCGTCTTAGCAGGTCCTTCCTTCCCATTAGGGTAGTGTCCATAACTTATTTGCGCAGGCTTACTCCGTAGTTTACCCTTACTTGATATCTCAATGTGTCTTTTCTTTTTTTCTTTCTTTTCTTTTCTTCATTTTTTTAAAAAGCAAAACATTCACTTGTTTAACAGAGTTGCCATTGCTGATGAAACTGATGATGATGTTGATGATGATGTTGATGATGATGATGATGATGATGATGATGATGATGATGATGATGATGATGATGACGATGATGGGGATAATTACAGACTAAGATCCATGCATACTTTTTCTTTCGTGTGGTTTCTCACATTTGAACAACTTAATAGCGTTTTTATTTTCTGCAATGAAGATATTTGATACAAATCTCAGGCCACTACATTGCAGCACGTTGATGGGAGAAAACGTTTCATAAAGATAATGTCAATCTGTTTTCAAAACAATGATCACGGGCGGTTTTATTTATGTGTTTAGTTTTTGGCATTTTGCTTCTGTAAATGTGATAATACATGTTTTATTTTTATTGATGTTAATAACACTGGTCGTTTAGTACGATGACAACTATATGCATAAAATGACAGTATTTTGCTCTCAATGCCCTTGCATAAGATTGAAGAAAAATGTGCTTTATTATCTCTCGTCCACGCTAAATTTAAGACTGTAAAGATGGTGATTTGTGACCCAACTAATATTCAGAACTAAATTAGTAGAATTTAGGCACGTTACTTTCTACACTGCTGTTTGAGCTCTCTCTTTTTTTGTGATTGTTATATATTATGCATGTCATTATGTCAGATTGATGGTTGGGGCGAAGTGGGGGGCGCTGGGACTCGGCTGGGTGAAAAAGGGTGCGGTGGGCGAAAAAAGTTTGAAAACCACTGCCCTATACGAACACGTGCATAAGCATACACATAGTCACTCTCGGAGAACCGGGGAACAGCGACTCTATTTTTAAAAACAGGAAAAAATTTGTCCGGGGAACGGGAACAGCGACTGGCTTAAGCGAATACCTCGTCGTGACGGTATCGGTGATGGTATCGATACACCCGCGGCACGCTAGAAAGATTTTTGAATAAACATTTAAAACTATGTCTAATCGTAAAAAAATATCAAATTCGGAACCAGCGTGTCCAAATTAACAAAACAAGTCGCTTGTGACTGTTTTTCTTGCTGGATTTAGAAGATCACAAAAAGAAGTATTTTATATAGATTCTACCAAGATTGCATCTTGTAGAATTTTCCTATCATAAAGAGGACAGACAACAGTCACTTTTAACTGATCTAATAAAAGACACCCCCCCCCCCCGCCCCCCAGTATGAAGTGACTAGTGGGAGGCTGTGACGCAAAATTCCTTTGAAGTTTGCCGCCGCGCGGGATTAAACTTTGCGCGCAGAATTTTCAAAATAATTATCGTAGCTAAAAACTGATTTCATTTTCGAAATCAGCGTATCAAAATAATCAAAGTGGCTCACGTGGAATCTGATTTGATGCCATAGTATGGTAAAACTTGAGCAAACTTTGTTTTTCAATTGTCTATTTTCAATCTAAAGTTATGTATGAAGGTCACCCAGTGCGTTGTAAGTGCATCAGACGTCAAAGCTGCTAGGATTACACAGTCAATGCACATTAGATTTCTACTATCTACTACTGTACAGTAGTACAGTAGATCTAATACAGTGTACAGTATGGTGACTTCGTCGAAAGACTCTGTTATTCTCTTTATTGAGATGTAGAGGTCTACCGAACCCTCGAATGTTTGAGGACGATTAAGTGCAGAGACTACAATGCTAAATTATTAAGAGAGGGCGTAGGGAGAGTTTGTGTCATTAGAAATTTGCAACTAACAACTTCGTGGGCCTCTTTTTTAATTTTGTTAAGTAACAACTCACAGAATGCAGGCAAATTGTTGCGAAGAGTCATCTTGCGCAAGAAGAAGGAATCTCCCCCAATTTAAAGGGAATTGGACACCATAAATTGGAATGTGTAAACAGAATAAGCAGTTTGATAAATCTGACAGTTTTGCTATACGTAGAATGTAATGCGATTTATCGCTGAGAGTAACCTGGGCTTTACAAATTAACCCTTTTCACGGCAACCTATTTATATCCTTTTGACCGACAACAGGGTGCAACCCACCCGCACTTGTATTATACAGTGGATTCCAAAAGAAACTTGATAATGTAATCCCCCAATAATCGGTTTAAAGCCTTACACTACCCACTCATACAGCATATCAATTTAAAGCTAAATAAATTCTGCATCATCTGACACAATAATATTTCATCTGTCTTAAGAGATGCTCGAGATAATAATATGGTAACTCAGAATTCACCTTACAAAATCAGGCTTGGCAAAATTGTGTGAAATCACAGAAACGTTGTCTTCGCGCGTGTATTGGGGACCAATATTGATAGAATGGACATACATTGCATATCCAAGAATGGATTTGTTTCTCAGCAATAAACAATATCTAATGTCGATAGTTTCAATTTCAAACAAAACAGAAAACAAAGCAATCACAAACACCAGAAAAACTTGGACTTAACATTAAACGTGCTCCTTGTTATTTTGAGAAGGAGCCATTGGTTTTGTGTATTGCAAAAACCCATAGGGCATCAGTTCTTCTAAATTTTGGACAATTAGAAAGTGATTTGCCATGAATGGAGATGTTTACTTGAATGACACCATGAGGGAAAAAGGGTAAGACATGACATTCCAACACTTACGCGATGTAGTCTACTAAAGTAAGCCATCCGATGATTCGCATGCGGACGATTTTGTTCATTCCGTCCCAGATCACCAAAAAAAAAGGCAGTTTCATGACCTCTGCTCCTCACTGACAGATGATTAGTCCAAAAATGTAACTTACACAGCCATGTGCTAAAAGGTTTGT